CCTTATTTTTTTCTATTGTAAGTTTCCTAACTTAATGAAATAGTGGCTTGAGCAACAAGAATATAACATGACACTAAGAAACAAAACACCCAAGGAGAATCAGCTGGAAAACTAAACAAAGCAGGAGGGAAATAGATGTTTCTGACTTGGGGTCTTCTAAAGACAGCCTTTTAAGGTCTTGTAGTATTCCCATATGAAACAAGTCTGTCCTAGGTGCACATGACACCTTTCCTGCACAGAATGATAATGTGTCTGTTACTCAGAGGCTTGTCTCTTCCACAGAGAAATGAAAATGAAACACTGCCTGGCTTATTACCTTATATCAGTTTGCTTTCATTAACTTTTTTGAGTTCTGAAACAGTGACTTTGAGACCTGGCGTTTTAGACTGTGCCCACTCTTAACCACACCATCAAAATATTCCCCAGATAATTGCTTTCTTTAATTCTATATATCTCATCTAGGAAAATCCATAACTTGTTTTTAGATCTAGCACACAGCATCTGCCAGAGTTCTAACAGACCTCTGTCAACCTCCTCATAGCAGGAGCATGATGATATCTATTTTAGAGATTTCTGGGACAAATGAGGGAGATTCATTTTGTCCAGGTGCTTTGTAAAGTATAAAGCACCACATGTGCATACCCAGAACATCAGACCTGGTCCAAAAACATTGGGACATAAAACGTTCTGAGAAAGGAAGGCCATAGAGCTTATGAAGAATCTCGTAACTCCTGTGTCCACTTTATGAGACAATGGGAAAGACAGTTATTTAAAAATAAGTCCTAGCCAGATGAGAGGGTTTCCTAAAACAATGCAGCAGTTCAGTGTCCTATACCAGCGGTGGCAAACCTTTTAGAGGCGAGTGCTAAGTGCCCAAATTGCAACACCAAACCCACATATTTATTGCAAAGTGCCAACACTGCAATGAAACCTGAATACTGAAGTTTTATGTTAGAAAAAACAACTTATAAATTAACATCTTTGTCCTTAATAAACATGTGTGCCACAGGTTTTCTACCACTGGCCTGCAACTTTGTGTTCTTGGAACTTGTGTGGCTTCTTTCTTGGCTTCTATCACTTTGTCCAATACGTGTAATTATCTGCCTTCCCTCCCTACCCTGAAGAATCTTATAAACTGAAGAAATAACAACTCCTCCCTCCACCCCCTAAATATCCACAGCCATAGCCCTGTTACTTAATAAGACGTTCCCTTACAGAGCAAAAGAGCCCCTGCAGATTTGATCAAGTCAGTGGCCTTGAGATAAGGAAATTACCCTGGATTATCTAGTTGGAGGGAAGCAAGACAGAAGAATAAGTTCTAATGACAACAGCAGAGACTAGAATGTTATGCTTTGAAGATGGAAGAATGGCTAGATTCTGGGAAAGGTACAAAAATAACTACTCCTGAAGCCTCTGGAAAGAATCTGGCCCTGCCAATACATTATTTTAAAACTTTGGAGTTTCAGAATAATAAGGGAATACATCTGTATTTTGTTAAGCCACTAACTTTGTTACAGCAGCCAGGGAAACTAATATATTTTCTTTAGAAAGTAAATGAATAACTACTACAGTGACGAATGAGTGAATGAACCAATGGATGGATGAGGTGAACTCTACACGGAAGGGAGAGAGGCCAGGTTAAGCTTGCAATTTGGGAATAACCGGCTAGCTAACTTGAGCCTATTACTTAGTGTCTATAGAATTCCACATCATAAGATGTGATGCTGTAGAGTCAGACTGCCCAAGGTCCAAGTCCCCTCTGCATTACTTCCTGACTATGCGTTTTCCAGCAAGTGGTCATAGCTCTCAGCCTGCCCTCACAGTTGTGAGATGGTTGGGGACAGTACTTCTTACACAAAGTTATTGTGGGCACTGAATGAGCTCTAGTCTAGTCATATTTGATGGGGCTCTACACTAAACAAACTAGAAATTGTTTCTTAGTGACATAAAATGGTCACTAATATCACTTCACACATAAAATTTGAAATCATGCAAATTCTCTAAATTAAAAAAGCCAAAACTGCATAATGGTAAGGCTAGTAAATTGTAAACAACTTATTATCTCATGGTAGGATTGGCCTGGCTGCTGAATAGAAACAACCATCATCCGTTGAGAGAAACCACGCTGAATTATGCAAGTTATAAATCATACAAGGAACACATCATGTGAGATCTCCAGGAACACAGTCATTTAACAAAACAGGACCACATTTAATGCATGCAAATTAATTAGCATGGACCTTGAACATAGAAGCTATTACTCTTATTTTATTAGCTCTATGATAAAATCCTCAGAACAAACACCTCTACCACAACAGAAAATGAGACAAATTTCAGCATTGCTAAGTGTCTAAGCTTTACATCAACCTCTGACCCCTTCAGAGAAATTTTACAGGTTGGAAAATCTGAGTCGTGTTAATGACACCCCATATTATGAAGCAATAAATTCTCTGGTTTTGTCCAAAACAAATAATTTAGCTCTAGGAAGGTAGCAACTATGAAATGTACTGGTATCTCTATGTAAATCTTGCATAATGTATTTGGTTACTATGATACTATAGTGTTTAAGTATAATTGTGTCAACTTAATTGGCTTGGGAACTGCCTAGAGGATTAATAGATGGCACCTCTAGGTATGTCTAACTGAGTCATGGAGATATAACTTTGGGTACCATATATGGTTCCTGGTCCCCTTTTCTCTGGCATTGTTCCCCTGCTCTGCTTTCCAGCCACCAGGAAGCTAGCAGCTTTGCTCCACCATGCCCTTCCAGCATCACGTTGTTGCCTTGAAGCCAAATGACCATGGACTAAATCCCCTGAAACCATGAGCTACATTAAACCTCTTCTTTTTTACATTGTGGTTTGGATATTGCATCCCAGCAATGGGAAAGTTGACTAATACAGAACCATATTTAGAATAACAGAAATTATGATGAGGAAAGGACTTCATTGGGACTCAATGTTGTCCACTATAATTTGTCATCTCTTTGTTTTTACCTCTTGAATTCCCAGAGTACAAGGTTGTAAGTTGTGCATCCTAAAAGTGAAATAAATGTTTGTAGAATGTGTGAATGAACTTTCTCAGTCATGTAACCCAGGCCCCTCTCCCCTTTGAGAAGAGCCTAAGGCCAATTAGAACAATAAATATCCCTTGTGCGTAGCATTAATTCAAAGTTAATAACAATCTCCTCTCTAGAGGTAAAAGCTAATTTCCCCAAACAAATAGACAAGTTTATAGAGAGGAAAATGTTTTAAAACACATTTTTGTACTGTATGTGCTTTACAAAGCCACCACTTCAAGGAAAAAAGTACACTGTTTCCTTAGAAAACGGGTTTTAGGGGTCTTTCTTTTGTCTTTCACTAATCTCCTCTGAGGTAGTTGAAATCAACTCCTTCTAATCTGTATTCACTAGAGAGGGAGAGCAGTGGTCCTGGCCTTCACAAAGTAGCTCCACCTACTTTGCAAGAGTCAAGTATTGACAGCACACCCTTATAACAGCCAAGTATGCCAAGATCTCATATCTCTGAATAATATTCTGACTTTCATTATCAGGTTCTTCCCTGTCCTCTTCTCAATACATCAGGTTGCAGGACCCTGAGCTCACGGATGCAGAAAAGCTGATGGCAAAATTATCCTTAACAGCTCAGTTTCTGTGATTACCTCCCCAATTTCTCTTTTCTTTCCCCCCAGTACAGGGAATTGAACTCTAGCCTGGCCTTTGCACTGAGCTATATTCCAGCCTTATTTATTTTGAAACACAGTGAGTTGCCCAGACTGGGTTTGAATTTGTGATCCTTCTGCCTCAGCTTCCCAGAGGGCTGTGACTACAGGAATGTGTCACCAAGTCCAGCTCCATCTTGCCTTTTAACACATTTGTGATGGAGCCATCATTTGTAGTCTCACTGTTGGGCAGCTTGAACCACTGGTAGTACGTGTATGACTATGCCATCCATTGACTGTACCACTTCTACCACTAGTGGTACAAGCCACCTGATGGGACAGTCATATACCTATCATTGGTGGTTCAAGTTAGCAAGAAGGTGTTAACCAGTTAAAAACCTGTAGCTCCCCAATGATTCGCTCAGATTTCTGCCCATCTTCTTGCTTTCTTAGTTTACTATGCATAGTTGTACAGTCAATTCTGGGTCTTTATTTGTTATTTTCAATAAAAGCCCTAAATATAGCTATATAATGTTCCTGTGCTATTTCTGTTGTATTTCCCTTTCCAAATCTGCCAGATCCTTCTCATCTGGGTGGCCATACTCAGATTGGATATCCTGCTTTCTAGTCTAGCCACCTTGCTAGTGTCAAAAAGACCATGAGTTAAGGGTTATTAAGAGAAGATGATGATTTCTTCCTTCACTATCCCCTTACTATTTGGACCCCTTTAGAGTCCACAGTGTCAGGTACAAGAACTTTGAGTGTCAGTTACCAGCCCAGATCTCATCCAGCTCTTCCATGGAACTTTGGTCTCATCATCAAACTGTGTCTCATCAGACCATTACCTGATGAGACATTACCATTCAGTTACCTTCATCTTCTTATACCATTACCATTCAGTTACCTTCATCTTCTTATACCCAGGAGCCTGCTATGAAGATTTGCACCACTGTACCCTGATCTAGTATCCCCCTCTACCTGGAACATGTTACTGGTTCTCTACTCTTAAGTCCCACTGCAAATCCCCCCTCTGGCAAGACTTTCTTAACTCCTCAGAGAGGATGAGTCACTCCCTCTCTGTTGTTCCCAGAGAATGGTGTCAATACCTTTCTTACAGCCTGAATCATAGGATTCTGCAATGACATTGTTGTAGGTCTCTATTTCACATTTTTTCCATTTTCCTCCAAATAAATCTAGGGTCCTCTTAAAATCAAGAGCTCAAGGAACACATACCTTAAGTAAGCATGTATATAATTTCTCAAACCAGACATGACTGGGCAGCTCCCACAAAAGAAAACAAGCTGACTGGGACCCAGCCAAGAGTAAAAAATATGGCATACCTGATAAACCAGCATGTTAACCGTTTCCTCTTTGTTCTGCTCTGGAGGTCCTTGACTCTGCAATAGATTTCGTACTGTTTCTTCCATCCTGAAAAATAAAAATATAAAGAATTTCTTAAAGAGGGATTCCCTTTATCATGTGTCTGTTCTAGTTAATAGAAACCACTTTTTAGGATGTATTTTCTAAGTTTATACCAGGAAATATCTTTTCTCTACTCTCTCTTTTTGTCCCTATTTTAAGAATCTGTCAAGAAGTCATTTATAATCCTTCTTCAGCATATATATCTCTTGGTTCTTTCTCCTTACCATTTAGGTGCACATCCATGGCCTTGGACATCTGTACTTATGCACACACCTCCTAATCACTCTCTTTCAATTCAGTACAATGTCATCACATTAATCTTCCAGAAACACCACTTTGATTTTTTAAACTCAATTTTCAAAGTTAACACATATTACATAAATGCATTCTCTCCATTAATACACTGTCATTTCTTTCCATGGTGGTCTGTCTATGTCAGCAGAGAAAGATTTACTTCATTCTTTTCAACCATTTCTTAGTACTTTATGGTGTCAATGTTCTGTGCAGGATTTAACTGTTCCTCTTCTGATGGAAATGAAATGGTTCACAATTTTTGCTACTTCAAATGATCAGCATATTTATACTTGCATCTTTGAAGACATTTATGACTACTTCTATAGGTTATACTATAATAGATTGTGTGTTGTAATCCTACTTTTTAAATAGTTACTTCCCAAGGATGCCCATTGTCCCCAAAGCCGATTTCTATTTCTAGACATCTAGTCAGGATGTTGCTACTTATTGGAATGCCAGCTTCCTTTCATCTTCCTGTATGCCATCCATCTTTCCAATTATATCTCAGATTCTGCTTCCAAGCATCTTAGTCACTTTTTTCCTCATTGGTACAAAATAACAGATACTCTCAATTTAAAGTAGAAGATTAGTATTATTATCTAGCCCATAACTTAACTGTGGCTTCAAGGCAGGAAGGCACGGCAGAGGGGCATGGCAAAGAAGAGATTCTCATGGCATGGCAGACAGGAAGCAAGAGTAAAGGAATGAGCTGGGAAGGGAGATATAACTTTCTGGGTCACATTCAAGGTGACACACCTATTCTGAACAGGCCCCACTCCCTAATAGCTCCTCAGCTATAAGCCCCTATACCACCACCTTCTAAAGGTCCTGCCTATGATCCCATGAGATTTAGAGAGCATGGAGATATAAACCATAACACTAAGACTTCTTCATTTATTAATAGCTTCTTTGAATTCTTACACCCCCTTATTTAAATCATTTATTCTAACACTTAAACCCCTTTGCTTGAATACTCAGGTATTTCATTTATTCAAGTTTTGTCCTCTAGAAAAAATGGCAACAGCTGATATAACACTATGTCGCATATCTCATGTATGTCTTCCTCAGTTATAGGTAAAGTAGGTGTTCAGTGCACAGTTCATATTTGCCAATGCATTTTTAAAACAATGAAATACTCTATGCCAGACACTCTCCATGTATATTCAGACTCTTTGATAATGATCTTCTTTTGGGGTCCTTCCAAGAATACAGAAAAGACCTGAACTCTTGTAAACTCACCACACTGAACACTGTGCTCCTTCCTTACCCAGGGCTGGAGTTGACTGTCTTTCTCAGTCTCATCCTGAACAATGTATTTCAGTGACTCAGCGTGATATCAGAGAGAGTTGTGGTGGAAAGCAAGCTAATTCAGTTTCTCCCTTTCTCCAAGGACAGCCAGTGTGGCAAACTGAGGGCTCTAGAGGCCCTATGAGTCCTCTGCTGTGGCTAGGTCACACCAGCACCTAGCATCCTTCAAACTGCCAGCCTTTCTACTATGGGTGTGACTACGTAACAGTGGAGCGAAGAAACTGCAGACAGGCCGGAACATCCAAACCGGGATTATTAATTGGGGAAATTCTACCTTGACAGAGGATGAGACTGGGACCCACTCAGGCTTTCCATAAGATGGAGGACAGTGGTTATGAGAACTGAAAGATGATTTGTGACCACACATTTATGCAGCTTACTTGGTGCAGCCATCTGGACAAGTAGAGACAGTTCCCTGAATTTTCAGAAGTCTTACATTATTAATAATAACTCAAAATGAACAGTACTTTTGACTTGTCAGAGAACCCCCTTATCTATAAATTATTATAATGTACTTTTAAATATCATTACATTTATTAGTAGTTGAAAAGGCTCAGACACAGAAAGATTGGTTGGCTACTGAAAGGATCATGGTTACTTGGACACAAAGTTAGAATTAAAAGATTCTTACTCATTAAAAACAGCAGCTTCTCCCCTGTTGACCTGTTGACATTTAGGGCAAGTACCCTGAATGAACAATAGTCCTAACTCCTCAGGAAGAATTACCTCAGTCCGTACCTTTTAGATGTGGAGCCCAAGAAAGCAATGGCTCTGACCAGGGCAGAACTTAAGATCTGGGAGAAATTTTTAAAAAAGACTAAGTTTAGTTGGGAAGAAGGTTGGGGGAGGAATCCTAAAGAAGCCACAAATTCTGAAATACATCCTCATGGCCAATTTCTAATACTTCATTTCATTTTATGTACATAATCTTTTCAGAGATAGACTTCCACAATGTTCATCAAATCTATCACAAACAAGAACAATAATAAGTGTTGGAAGACTTAGCTGACCTTCTCAATTGTTATAGGTCAAAGACAGTTTTCTGGTTTTCTATGTATTATAGTCGTATGCTATATGAGTGTCTTTGGTCAACTGAACAATGGACTGCACATGTGATGGTGATCCCACAATCTTATATCAAGTGGAATCATTATTGTCATACTTTGTGTGAACACACCCTCTGACATTCATACAAAGATCAAACTGCCCAACAATGCAATTCTCAGAAGATATCTCCATTATTAAGTCATGCATGACTATAGTCTACTTTCTTCTCACTTTAGCACAAAAATTGGAAATCTTATTTTGATGCTGAATTCATTCTTTTGTAAACATTGGGCCTAAATGTGGCCCAGTACTTAGAAGTCAGTTGAAATAAAATCATGTCTTCTTTTATTTTTTTAATAAATTAAAATATAATGTCTCTATAAATCTTACTGAATTATCTCTGTATAATTAGAAGCTCTATGGCTAATTTGATAACTGAAAAGAAAAACACCTATTCACCTTTCCTTTCACCCTGCTTGTTGGTTTTGTATTAAAAAGAAAGAGAAAAAAGGAAAAAAATGGGAGTAGACAGGAAATTGTTAAAATAATCTCAAGCAGTCCAGAACCTTTGGAAATAACTGTGAACATTTTCCTGGCATTACCATGTGATTAATTAAAATCAAGTCCATCTCCAACCTGCAGCTTGGAACAGAGGCACAGGACTCACCCCAACCTTTTTCATTAGAAAAAAAAAAATCAAGTTGTCATATTTTTCATAATCTTTATGAATCTGTTCACAGAAAAAATGTTTTCAGTCTTATGAGACCATATCGTTGTTTATTCCCAGAGGACATCTTTTCTGAATATTCATTTACTAAACCTTTGCTTGTTTAAAAATTAAAGGCTGTGAAGCATCATCCATCGTGATTCTGATGCCCAATGATATTTTGTTTTATTTTATTATTTTGATGGTGGATGTAGCAGAGCTCGCATTGCTAGTCAGCACACAGCACAGCTCTGCCATCTGTTTCCCAAATGTGACTAAAAATAAGCCAATTCCTTTCTTCACTTCAGGTTTGGGTAGGGCTGTGGTTTTTATTTGTTTCCAAATTGCTGATAGGTGTGATGCATCCTTAAATACTGACCTTCAGTGATGTTTTCTGGCTCTTCTCAACTGAGACTAAATCCTGTCCTTTCATAAATTTTCACAAGTATCTGTCATAACTAAAAATATGTACAACAAATTTATATTCAGTGAATTGTAGTAAGTTCTAATACACATTAAGTTTATCTTTTTTTTTAAACATTAACTCCCAGGCAAACCAGAAGAAAAAAGCTAAACACCTATGCAAACAATATATTTTAGGTAACAAGGTAAAAATATAGGAGTTGTATCTTATTAAAAAATATACCCCATTTGTTATGGTAACACATTATTTAAAAATCAACAAATTTTTATTATAGACTTTCCTCTGAGGGTTAGTTAAGAGCATTAATTTAAAATAGGGTTAATTGGACATTAAATAATATTGCATAAGATAAAATGGAGATATACATCATTTTTCACGGATGCCATGGTCCTGCACATAGAACAGCCAAAAAATTTGACCAAAAGGCTCAGAGAATTAATGACCAAATTCAGCAATATAGCAGGATATAAAATCAACACACAAAAATCAAGTGTTCCTGTACACCAATAATAAACTCACAGAGTAGAAATTAGGAAAATAATACCATCCACAATAGCATCAAGAAAAATTAAATAGTTAGGAATTAACCTAAACAAATAAATGAAAGACCTCTACAGTGTTCTGAAGACAGAGATTGTAGAAGACATAAGAAAATGGAAAGATATCCCCTGTTCCCGGATAGGCAAAACAAATACTGTCAAAATGAACATACTTTCAAAACTGACATACAGATTTAATGCAATCCTAATCAAAATACTAACAGCATTTGTCACAAGACTAGAGAAAACAACCGTAAAATTCATATAAAACCAGAAGAGACCCAGGAAAACAAAAGCAACTCTGGCAACAAGAGCAAAGAAGGAGGCATTCCAATCCCAGACTTTAAATTATATTATAAAGCTGCAGTAATAAAAACAGCATGGTACTGATGCAAAAACAGACATATAGATCAGTGGAATAGAACACAGCATGCAGAAACAATCCTAAGTACATTCAGCTATCTGATCATTGACAGTATGGCCAAAAATATACTCCAGAGGAAAGACCACCTCTTTGACAAATGGTTCTGGGAAACCATGTGGAAAACTGAATCTAGACCCATAGGTCTCACCATTTACTAAACTAATATTAAAATGGATCAAAGAACTGAATGTTAAAACAGGAACACTTAACCTACTGGAAGATAAAATAGGTAAAACCCTTGAAGACATAGGCATAGGTAAAGTT